GAGGCTGCCGGGATGGGGCCAGGCCCCCGCCTAGAGCCACCCGCCGGCACAGACACATGCACAGGACAACACACACACACACACACACACGCATGCACAGACACACACATGCACAGACACACACGCACACACATGCACAGACACACAGACACACGCACATGCATGCACACACAGACAAATGGACAGACATGCACACACACACAGACAGACACGCCCACGCACACACACAGACACACGGACACATGCACATGCATGCACACATAGACACATGGACAGACACAGACATGCCCATGCACACACACAGACACACAGACACATGCACATGCAGGCACACACAGACAAATGGACAGACATGCACACACACACAGACACAGACACGCCCACGCACACACACAGACACACAGACACATGCACATGCATGCACACATAGACACATGGACAGACACAGACATGCCCATGCACACACACAGACACACAGACACATGCACATGCAGGCACACACAGACAAATGGACACAGACATGCACACGCACACAGACACAGACACGCCCACGCACAGACACACACATGCCCACACACACAGAGACACACGCAAATGCATACACACACAGACACATGGACAGACATGCACACGCACACAGACACAGACACGCCCACACACACACACAGACACATAGACACATGCACATGCATGCACACAGACACATGGACACAGACATGCACATGCACACACGCAGACACACAGACACATGCACATGCATGCACACATAGACACATGGACAGACACAGACATGCCCATGCACACACACAGACACACAGACACACGCACATGCATGCACACACAGACAAATGGACACAGACATGGCACACACACAGACACAGACACACACATGCACAGACACACACATGCCCACACACAGACACACGCACATGCGTGCACACACAGACACATGGACAGACACAGACATGCACACGCACACACAGGCACAGACACACAGACATATGCACACACATGCACACACAGACACTGACACACACAGAGACACACAGACATATGCACACACAGATGCACACACTGCACACACAGACACCCACAGGCACACACATGCATGCACACACACGCACACACACACACATGCATGCACACACACAAGGGCTGGGCAGGTTGCGGGTCCCTGCGCAGGCTCCAGCAGCGCAGAGAGCCAGGCTGTGGCTGAATCCCTCCCCTGGGCCCCTCGCTCACTGACCTCCGACTGTCAGCTTGTCCCAGACTCGATCTCCTGGGCTGTGACACGGGAGCCCGATATGGGGATACAGTCTCTTCTCTTCTTGGGACTGCTCCTCTCTCCTCCCTGGCGCGGCTCCAGCTCTAGCCCCGAGCAGGTCCCAGGGGCACCGCGGCGCGGAGACAGGCGCTGGGCATACTTCTGACGTGCGGTCATGGAGCCGCCGCCCTCCGGCTTCCCCGTCTGCACGTCCCCTCCTGCCCCGGCCACTTCCCTTCCTGTCCTCCTCCCCCCACACCCTGGCCCCACCCCGACCCCCGACCCTTGAGACCCGAGGGTGTCGCTGGCCAGGAGGCCCGGGCTGCCCGGGCCTGTTGGGCCACAGCCTCATGCTGAAGGGGCAGGGCCTGGACTCAGGGGCTCCCGAGGCCCGGCTCTGTCGGTTTGGGGCAGTGGGGTTCTGAGGTTCCAGGAGCTGGGTCAGGAGCTGAGTGGCAGGACAGTGGCCAGGCTGGCGAAGGGCCTTCTGCCCCCTCCCTTATTCTGTTAGCCTAAGGCGCACCGAAGGGCATTTTGGGGACCCCAACCCCTAGGGGAGACAAGCCCCAGGGACCTCTGTGCCCCAGTGGAGTTTCTGCTCTGCCCCCCCCCGACCATGACTAGGAGACCCATCCTGGTGGCCAGGGCCTGCTCCAAGGGGAGCCCCCGCCCCGACTCCTGGCCCTGACACCACGAGGCGGTTCCGGTGCCAGGTCTGACCGTGGGGCCTGTGCGAGCAGGGCCCGGCTGCGCAGGCCCTGGCAAAGCCCCTAGGCGGGCAGCCCAGAGCCTGGACAGCATGCTGTGGGACCCCCTTTCTCTGCCGTCCCTGTGTGCCCACCTCAAAGGCCCACCAGGCCCCCAGCCTCTCCCAGGTGAGCTGAGTCCAATGGGCCCCGGAAGTCCGAGAGAAGAGGGTAGGAGGTGCCCAGGCCCCTCGTCCCGAGACAGGAGGGAGTCTGGGCCGGGGCCTGGGCTCTCCAGCCTCACTGTGCATTTGCACACACCCAGGTGGGCTCAGGGCCCCGCTAAGGTCCTCCTACACCCAAAGCCAGGGTCCTCCCGACAGTCTGTAGTGGGCGAGGGTGCCACCCATGCCCCTTAGCCTCCCATGGGGGACACGTCCCGGAACCCAGCACCCCAGCCTGTCCGGGTGCGGGGTGACCCTTGCCTCTTAACTGCCGGTTGGCCCGGCTCCACCTCTCCTGAGCCGGTGAGGGGATCTGTGTGGTGCCAGCTCAGGCCTTGAGCTCGCCCAGCCCACCAGTGGGGTGGGGAGAGTGCCGGCAGGTCCGAGCCGGCCCCACCTCTGGCTGGTACGTGGGCCCGGAGTCCTGAGCCCGGATATCCCGCATCTGGCCTCTGGTGCTCGCCTGGTACCAGCCCCTGGCAGGCCAGCCTCAAGGACTGAGATCCAGGGAGGGGACCGCCGGGCCCCAGTGGCCACTGCAGCCCAGCCCCGGCAGGCTCTGCCCAGGGCAGGCTCAGGAGGGCTCGGGCCCCTTGGGAAGGGAGGAAGATTGGGGGGCAGGGCCCTTGTGCTCCCTGGGAAGCCTCGCTCCCCCCCACCAGCCCTGCTTGGCAGAGCTGCCGGCGAGAGGAATCCCACCCCTCTCACCGCCATCCGTCAGGGAGACAGAGTGGGCCCGAGCGAGGGCTGCTCGAGGAGGGAGCCGGGGAAATTTGATCATTAAGAAACCCTCCTGGCTGTCTGGGGGAATTTAATTAAATTGCTGGAGAGGGCTGCGAGAGGGGCCACATCTGGAACCAATATGTGGGCTTTGATTTTTTTTCCTTCTCTTTTTCTCCCTCTTCCCATCCCAGTGCCGTAAGAGGGAACGCGGCAGAGCCTTGGATGCCGGCCCCTCTGGGACAGAATTCCTAGCAGAGCGAGAGAGACGAGGCGGACGAAGACCAAACCCAAGGGCGGGGAGACGGCGGTGGAGACACAGAGGCAGAGAACGGAGACCAGGAGAGACCCAGCGGGGCAGGGGCAGGGAACGGGGTGGCCAGCCTGGCTCTGGGTTCGGCTGTGGGGGTGTCAGCATCGGGGGGCAAATGTCCACGTTACAGAGTAAGTCCCAGAGGACTTCAGAAATCAGCATGCCCGGCCAGGTGTCCCTTGCGTAGCCAGCGCTTGTCAAGCTTCTGGCCCATGGAGTGAATCCACCTGACACCCCTGGGTGTAGACGCCAGCGTTACCCCGTTCACAGATGAGAGGGGATGCAGGAGTGGCAGCGTGGGTCTGGCCCTGGGCCTGTCTGGATACTGTCTAGACTTGCTGTGGGGGTCACTTGGATTACAGTGACTTCATTTGGCAGCTGTTTATTTCGTGCTTGGTGGTGCCAGGCACTGGGCTAGGCTCTAGGGAGGCAGCCGTGTAGACGTCGAGCCAGAGGCTTTCGGCGAGTCCGGGGTGTGCTGAGTGCCGGGTGCGGGCGCGAGTGGGGACGAGCTGACCTGGGCAGTCGGCAGGGCTTGCAGTGCGCCCTTGCCCAGGCAGGAGTTGACAGGGAGGGTGGGGGCAGAGCATGGCGGCTCTCTCTGCTCCTGTGGAGCAGGGACCTGCTAGGCCCCAGGCCCTGGCTCCAGCCCTCAGGTGTCCACGGGCCTGGGGATGGCTGGAAGCTTTCCGGCCTTGACTCCCAAGGCTGAGCCATCTGCCACTGACCCAGTCCCTTCTGTTGGCCAGTTTCTAGCACAAGAGCCATCGTGCCCCTGGTCTCCAAGCTTCACGTGTCCATCCCAGGTCCCAGAGCCCCGAGCCCGCGGCTCCCAAGCTCCCATCAAGCCAGAGCGGTGGGGGGAGAACGTGGTCTCTGGCCTGGTCAGGCAGGCTCTGGGGCAATTCTCTTTCCCCCTAAGTCCCTGAGTTCCAACACTAGCTCCTATGTCCCAGCTCCAACCTCCTACTACCTGCTGCCAAGCTGGCCGCAGCCCCTGCAGAGACTTCCTCCGGATGAGTGCTTAACCCAGGACAGCTGGGGGGGAGGGGGGTCCGTCCCCGGCCCCACCCCGCCAGGGCGACAGAAGTCCTGCCCTGCTTCGGCCCTGCCACTTGCGGTGGACGGGCCATCTTCGCTCTGCCCCTCTCGGCTGTGGCCCTGAGGGCAGGGGCTGCTCCACCTGGTCCCCACCATGGCCGCAGGCCCAGCCGGGGCGGGTAGAGGAGGGCGCTTGGTAGGTGTGGGTGGAATGGATGTCCTGTGACTGTGGCACATGCAGAGCAGTCTAGAAATGGAATTCGAGCTCTTTGGCATGGGAGGGAAAGTGAGGCACAGAGAGACAAAAATAAAACATAATAAAAGAAAAAGTCCCGTGGCAGGCCCCCAGCCCCTGGGAACAGGCAAGGCAGGTGCCTGGGGGGCTTTGCACGTGCTGGGACTGCCGCCTGGCCACCCCGGGACCGGCCCCTTTCACCTGCTGAGCGCACCCAGGCTGGGCTGAGCGCCTCTCCCGGGAGGGCCTCCCTCTGCCCCCGCTCCCTCGGCCTCCTCGCCCTGCTTCATTCTCTGCCAACATGGGCTCGGCGCCTCCTCTGCAGGTCTGGGCCGTCAGGGCGCTGCTCTGTCCTCTGCGCCCCGGCCCGGTCCCCACTCTGCGAAGGTTCAGCTCAATTAAAACGTGTTGAGAAACTCACCACGCCCTGAGCTTGGGTGCAGTCTGCTTGGGAGCTTAGAGGCAGAAGCAGGCCGGGTCCTGCCCTCAAGCTCTGCCCCAGGTCCGGGGGGCACTAATGGTGGCTACGGTGGCCGCCGCTGTGTCGTGGGTGCGTGTCGTTTAGTGGCTGCAGAGCAGGCGGATGGCAGGAAGGCACGGCAGGCCTCGTGCAGCCTCACAGTGACCCTGCCCTTACAATCACGAGGTGAAGTTGGGGGCAGCTCGGTAGCTGGCCACAGTCTGGCGAGAGGCAGAGCTGGGACAGGCACTCAGAGCTGCGCAGGGCAGAGTCGCTGGCACGGCCCCCACAGTGTGTCCTCCTGGTCTGAGGCTCCAGGGCTGAGCGGCGGGAGGCAGGTGGCGGGTGAGGACCCGAGGCCAAAGGAGTGGCAGCAAGATCTGGGTGATCAGATGGGGCGGGAGCGGCAGGGGTGCAAATGCTGCCCCCAGGCCCCCAGGAAAGGAGAGGGAACGCCTGTGGCAGGGCGGGCCAGCCGGGCTGCAGGGCGGTCCACGCGCCCGCTAATCCGAAACAAACGAACAGGGAGACGCGAGGCCCGCTTGGAGGCCTGACAGGGTGATGATATACAGATTTTTAAATAAATGTATCTCATTAGGGACGCGTTGTCTGGTGGGAGAAAAATGGTGTCCCTCCCCAGCCTGCCTCCCGCTTCCAAAAAAAAGAAAAGGAAAAAAAAAAATTCAATGATACAGCTCAAAAGGAAATTGCATTAATACAGATCGTTTTATTTAAAAAACCTTGACCTCAACTTCAAAAAAAGTCATTAGACATTCTCCTTCCCAAAGGCCGCCGGGCGATTACAGGGAGGCCTGCTCATTCCTCAATGACTTACTGTTCCTGCGGGCCGCGCGGGCGGGTGATTTAAGGCTCCCTGCAGAAAGGTGTGTAAATCTTTGCGTGTCTAAAGAAACTTTACCAGACCACTAAGTCGCAGGAAAAGAAAACTGGAAGGGCCCACCCCCCTCCTTTTTTCCGTTTCTTTCCTTTGGAACTCTGATCTCTTTGATCGTAAAAATGGTCATATTTCACCCCCAAAATATCAGCAATCAGCGAGCTAAGGAAGTGGCAGCCCGCGGGGAGTTTCGCCGCCGATTAGGCCCTTGGTTTAATTATTTAACGCCTGCCTGGATCGCGCAGGCTGCGAACACACCCTCCTGGCGGGGGTTCAAGAGTAAGTTATAAATAATAATAACGATTATATCCCCAATTAAGCCCGTGAGCTGAGAGCCTTGTCCCAGGCCCCGCCCGCCCTCAGCCCTGGCGCGGCCGTCACCGCACGTGCCCCCATGCCGTGTGCAGGGCAGAGCCGCATGGCTGCGCCTCGCCGCACAGTAATCACAGCAAGATGTTGCAGGCCGGGAGGGCGCGGGCAGGCCGGGAGGGCGCGGGCAGGCCGGGAGGGCGCGGGCAGGCCGGGAGGGCGCGGGCAGGCCCGAGGCCCTGGAAGGCCGGCGGAGGCCCGGGCTCCGCTAGGCCCCGGCCTGTGCCCCCCGCCTCGGGCGTCCTCCCCCGACTCCGGGGAAGGGAAGGCCGGGGCGTGGGGGCAGTTTGCCAGGAGCGACTGTGGAGAGCTGCAGTGCGGGGTGGGTCCCAGGTTTGCGGTTGGTCCTTTCTCCTCTGAGCCTCAGTTTCCCCCCTGTAACAGGAGGGAGTTCTCCAACAAGGGTCGTCCTGGGAGCTGAGTCTGTCCCGGGAGCCCAGAGCCCACCGCCTGGAAGGTGTCTTCGTTGGAACAGAGTGGCCGAGCCCACCCGAGTTCCGTCTGCAGCACTCAGACCACCACGGCCGGACCACAGCCGGACCACGGCGCGTCCTTGCGAGTCCCGCCAGGGTCCTGGCCGGCGCTCAGCTGGGCGCTCAGTCTGCAGTAGGTGCTCAGTAAATCGCCGTGGTTGAGTGATCCGGGATCGTTGCATTGGCCTGTGAAGCCCGCAGCGCCGCCGCCCGGAGCCCTGACCAGGGAGTGCTCACTCCACAGCAGCTGTCGCTTGGACCCCACCCACATCCGGGCCTGTCCCAGGGACCCACCTTAACGCCACCCTGGCGCTGGCTGGGCACAGTCCACACTGGCCAGACGTTTCCTGCCAGGTGGGCAATGGAGATTTCGGCCACCAGCCATCTGACCACACAGTCACTGTTGGGATGACCGTGTGTGCAGCCCTACTATGTGCTTGTTCTCCTTTCTCCTGTGACAGCTCATCATGCATAAGGCTCTGGGGACACAGTGGCATAAAGGAGAGACAAAGGCCCTGGGCTCACCCCTACAGTGTCGAGAGGGCACAGTACGCAGCTTACAGACGGGAAGTCGAGGCTCAGAGAGGGAAGCACATGGCCCGAGGTCACACAGCAGGTCCACAGTGCAGCCGGCCTTGAACCCAGCCAGGTCTTCCCTCTTCGGGCAGGGCCCCTCTCTACGTTGGCTTTCTCAAAGCCTTTTTCACATCCGTAGGTGATGAGTACTGTATATTTTCCACATACTGGGCTCGTGCTAGGCTTTTTATTTACATGGATCATTTAACTTGATTTTCACAATAACCCTGTGAGGTAGGGGCCATTGTTACCTACTCCCTGCAGAAGAGAAAACTGAAACCCAGAGAGGCTAGGTGACCCAATCAATGTCAGGCAGCTGGGTCACGCTGAGTGCATGCCCAGTACATACAAAAGATTTAGAACAAAAACAGGAAAACAAAGAACCATGTGGAAGGAGAAAAGGGAAGCTAGTACACTGACTTGCCACCAGGACAGATAGAGTTACTGTGATTATGTCTTAACATTAGCTCAGGGTTTCCTGGTAGCCAAGGCAAAAAGGGAAATGCAACAGGTTGCCCAGGTCTCATTATTTGGTTCTCTTATTTTTAAAATGAGAGACTATAGGCTGGGCACCTTGGCTTATGCATGTAATTCCAGCACTAGAAGGCCAAGATGAGAAGATCACTTGAGCCCGGAGTTTGAGACCAGCCTGGGCAATATAGCAAGACCTCATCTCTACAAAATAAAATAGTAAAATGAGCCAGCTGTGGTAGTATGCACCTGTAGTCCCAGCTACTCAGGAGGCTGAGGCGGGAGGATCACTTGAGCCCAGGAGGCCAAGGTTGCAGTGAGCTATGATTGCACCACTGTACTCCAGCCTGGGCAACAGAGCAAGACTCTGTCTCTAAAAAAAAAGAAAGAGAGAAAAGAAAGACTATAATTCTTCAAGAGAAAAAAGTAACTTCCTAGCCCTTAATTCTTGGCACAATGGTTAGGAGCCTGACAAATTCACTGGTACACAGAGCTTACTCTCTCTGAGCCTCAGTTTCCCCTCCTTGAGTAAGGGTTGTGAGGAGGCTTCGAGATAATGCGGTTTGGTACATTGCCTGGCTTACCAGGCAAGGAGGCTCGTGAGACGGGAGCCCCTGCTGCCATAGAGCACGTCTTTGCCTTCGGATGTGCAGGTAGGTCAGAAACATTTTTCAAAGGGGCATAATATTTCAAGCCTCGCCCAGAGCTAAGAGCCAGCCAGTGGGCAGGTATCCCAGCCAGGGGGTCCTCAGGAAGGAAACTGAGGCTAGCAAAGCTCCGGGCAGCTGAGGGAGAGACCCAGGCGTCCTGCCCCCTGGGCTCAGCCCCCTACCCGCAGAGGGGACCAGGCTCTGGGATGAGCAGGACGAATAGGTTTGTGATGCAATATCACGGCCTGACGCAATATTTGCAGAATGCTGTGATCTGTCACGGTCACGCCTGGTCACGTCTGGGTCACCTCAGCCTGCGTGTGTATGATTCCCCCAGACGTGCAGCAGCGAGCACGGCTCGGCCTGCCATCCCTGCTCAGCTGACTTCGGGACAGGCTCCCGCGCGTGTGGCGGCAGGGGCTGGTGAGGTGAACCAGAGGGGCTGCGGGATCCCAACTCGTCCTTGATCTCTGTTTCCCCATCTGTGAAATGGGCCTAGTCCCTGGGTGATTGACAACGGTCAAGTGTCTTGCAGAGGTTGTGAAGCCTGAAAAATGATGCTCGTATAACTCAATAAGAAATAAAAAAAAAAACTGTTCCAGTGGGAAAATGGGCACTGAAAATAAACAGACATTTTGCAAAGAAGAAACGCAAGTGGCCATTGAAACCCAAAGATATTTATCTTTGGCAAAAATGCAAGATACGCAGATTCAAACAAGAAGATGCCTTCTGAAACGTGAAGTGAGTTGTCACAGTAGCTCACGCTAGCAAGGAGACAGAGAGGCGGCCGGGAGCGGACGTTGACGCCGCCATTCTGAAGACAGTACGGCCATATTATCAAAAGTCTAAAATGCCTGCAGAATCTTTGACACAGTGTGTTAGTTTTCTATTTGTCGCTGTAACAACTTATCATAAAACTATGTTTTCAAACAACACAAGTTTGTTACCTTACAGTTCTGGAGGTCAGAAGTCCTGGACCAAGACCAAGGTGCCCGCAGGGCTGCCTTTCTTTCCCGAGGCTCCAGGGGAGAGTCCTGTTTCCAGCCTTTTCCGCTGCCTCCTCCGCCTTCGAGGCCAGCCGTGGCCAGTGGGGTCTCTCTCGCGCCCCGTCGCTCTGGCCCTGGCCCTCCTGCCTCTGTCGTCCACGGTTAGGACCCTGTGACTACCACACCGGGCTCGGCCAGATATCCGGAACAATCTCCCCATCTTAAAGTCAGCTGTTGTAGCAGCAGCCCTGGTTTCTAAAAAAATAAAAGAAGAAAGAAAGAAAATCAGCTGATGAACAACCTTGATTCCATCTAACTCCGCTTCGACACATTCACAGGTTCCAGGGATTGTGACGTGACCATCCTGGGGAGGCCATTACTGTCCTTGCCCACACACCCAGACATCCTATTTCCTAGGTAGTTATTCTTAAGAAAATAAATATGGGTGTATAGCAATAAGGAGTAATGTATTGCTAGGCTTTCATTAAAAATAGTGGTAGACAGACTATCTAATGACAGAAAGCAGGTTAGAAAATAGTAGGTACAAGGTGCTTCCACTTTTATAATACAAACACCTGTCTCCATCTATCTAGATATGGACAAATAAGCTAGAAAGATAGACTCTACAATTATTTTAGCTCCTTCCTTTTTCTTGTCTTATTACTTTTTCAAGGCCTTCCATTCACTATTGAATAAATAGGATGATTATCTCCAACCTCTTTCATTAAACTTTCTTTCTTTCTTTTTTTTTTTTTTTTTTTTGATGTATTGAATGTGTACGGTGTGGTAGGGCCCTTTAGGATTGGGATATAGGTGATTTTCATTCTCTCAATTCTACTTAGGCCTTCTAAAATCTCAACAATAAGCAAATTACTTCTGTAATAAGAAAAGTTAACTTTTTTTAAAAAGACATGTGAGCTTTTAAGACTGGGGCAAATATGCATTTTCACGGAAGGTCAGACTCAAGGCCCAGCCTCCCACAGAGCCACCAATTAACACTGGGCTCCTTCTCTGCAGAATTCCTCTCTGGAGAGCCGGGACATTCTCAGCTTCCCCTCTCTTCTTCCCCAACCCCACTGCTTAGAGCACTGCCAAGTTCAATAACCACCAGTTGAACTGAGAGGTTCCAAACCAGGATCCTATTAATATTTGCCTTTCATCCCCCACTCTGGGTTAGCATCTCGAATTTATCTAAATCATCATGGAAATTGCTTATTTTTAGCCATATCCCTTTGGGGTAACAAGTCCCTGAGTTCTGTCCTTCCTGGGTTAACGGGATTATCCTCGGGTACATTTTCAGGCTGGCTTGGGGCTGAAGCTCTTGCTCAAGGCTGAGCTTTGGTGCAGCAGTCCATGCCCTTTGGGCCACTCTGCCATCCTCGTGCCACCCCACCCCTCCCCCCAGGACTGGCAAGGGCAGTGACAACTCAGTCACAGTGACAACAGTAAAGCTAAATTCCCAAGCACCCTTTTGGATTGGCTCCTGGTTATCCCTGTTTCACAGCTGATGGGACAGACTCAGCGAGGAGCAACTACTCGAGGCCACACAGCTAGTGAATGGCAGTGAACACACTCGACTCCTTCACCCCCAGCCTGAATCCGAGTTTGCCTTCGCTGTCCTGCCCCCGGGTGTTCACTAGGTGCCAGGTGTCCCTTATTCATACGTCAGCTTATTGAATCCCCCGAGCAGCTCCTGTCACTGTTGAGGGACCCAAGAGAAAGAGGCTAGTAGACTGCTCAAGGCCCACAGCGAGGTTTGATCTGAACCCAGGAGGCTGGCCAGAGAGCCACCGTCCTGCAGAGTGTCACATCTCAACGTGCAGGGTGCATGAGTGTTTGAGTGGATGGAAGAAGCCACTGTGACTGCCAGTCCCACACCGAGAGACCTTAATATGGCATGGCCCAGCTCTGGGCCTCACATCCTTGATCTGTAACACAAAAGGGCTCGTACCAAACAATCCCAGTGGTTCTCCAGCTCTGCAGGAGCTTTTTTGCCTTTGTCACCTCAGTTTCCCCATCTGTCATCCAAGGGAGTAGGACCCAGATGATCTCTTAGGCCCTTTCCAGCTCCACAGGCCGATACAGACAGCACCCACCACGGGCCCAGGGCTGCACCTGCCACAGAGTCCCCACAGTGCCTGAGTTCGGGTACTTCATTAGGGCTCTTCTGCAGAGGAGGAGTTGGGGCTCAGAGTGGCGAGTTGCCACGCTTGAGGCCACATGGCAGTATATGGCACAGCTGGGCCTGGAGCCTGGTCTCTGACACAAGGCAGTCCCGAACCCTGGGGAGAAGCCCTGCGCGGTGGGCTGGGCTGTTCTGGGCTGAGACCCACCCGTGGGCTTGCTGGGTGCTCCAGCAGGGGCAGGGCCCTCCCAGATACTTCCAGAGCCAAGCGGTGCCCCACCCTGCCGAGTCCCTCGGGAAGTTACTCAGCCACACACGCTGCGGGCGGGCTGGGGTCCCCGGGAGGGGGGAGGCTGCCACAGCTTTGCCAGCCTTGCTCGCCGGACACTCCTTGGGGCAGATTTCCAAGGAAGCACAAACCCTCCACCCACCCACACATGTGCCTCAGTGGGTTGCTGGGGCTAATGTCACTCGCGGAACACTCAGCCTCATTTTAGGGGTGATTCCTTTCTCAGGGGAAAGAAACCCCAATGACACAGGCGTAACCTGAGGCTGCTGGGCTGTTTTCAGGGGTGTGGGGGGTGGGTTTTCCGCCAGGGAGCCCAGAAAGGACATAGTGAAGGCCCTCCTCTGTGGGCATATTTTTGCTGACATGACTTTATGCCTCTGTGGTGATGGGAGGGGACAGAGGGACAAGCCAGTAAACAGTTATCCTGGGCAAAGCCCCGGGGCGCACGCCCCACACATCTTTTCTGTACCTTCCTTAAAAAACAAAAGCAAGAGCACACGCCCGAGTCTGCCTCTTTCCTGTCACCCATCTGTCAGTCTGGCTGTCGTCTGGCTGTCTGTCCTGTGTGTACGCTGGGAGTTCTGGAGGGGAATGCTTTCCTCCCAGCTTGGTTTTCCTTGGGGAGGGCCGGGGCATCTCGGGGTGGGCGCAGGTGTCCGTGGGGACGGCGCGGGAGGGGGCAGTGCGTGGAGGGTGGCGCGTTCCGGAGGCCTGAGGATGCGCCGCCGGCCGGGGAAGCCTGGGGGCGGGTGGAGTGGACAGGTCCAGGTGGATCTGGATCCTCGGCGTGGGGTGGGGGAGCTCTGGGAGTTGGGAGCTCTTCCCCGCAAACTGTCCCAGAGTCGCCGCCCCCACCCCGACCTGCCGGCATCTGCAGATGGAAGACAAGGCCGGCCAACCCCTCCTTGGTCACCTCCCAGACACTTGTTGGGGGATTAAAACCAGCAGACCACGGAACCTCCCACTCCCTAAAACGTGGGTGGGGAGGGTGGGAGGAGGACACCCTCCTCCTCCCCTCCCGCCCCCGGCGCCCGCGGACTCCTTGGAGGACCCCCTCCCGCAGCCCGAGGGCCGGGCGGGGGCGAGGAAGAGGAGGAGGAGGAGGGGAGGAGGAGAGGGAGGGGGCGAGGTTTGCTTCAAGAAGGGGCGTGTGGCCGGAGCAGCCCGTCTCCAGCAACTTGGAGCGAGGCAAGAAGGAGGCGGAAAGTTCGCTCCCCGACGTCAGCGCGGGCGGGCCGCGGGCCGAGCCAGGAGCGGCGGAGCGGGCAGAGCGCGGGCGGCGGGGGCGCCTGCTCCGACCCGCGCCTGCGACCCCGCCGGCGCCCCGCCCTCCGGCATGACAGCGCGGCGCCGCCGCCTTCGCCCTGGACAAGGCGGCGCTGGGCCCGGGGCCGCCGCCGCCCGCGCTGGGGCCCGGCGACTGCGCCCAGGCGCGCAAGAACTTCACGGTGAGCCACCTCCTGGACTGGAGGTGGCGCGCCGGGCGGCTGGCGCGGCCCGCGGCCAGGGCCGAGGACGCGGAGGCGCGGCGCGGGAGCCGTCCGGGGGCAGCGGCAGCGAGGCGGCGCCGCAGGACGGTGAGCGGGCGGCCGACGTGGGGCGCGGCGCGGCCGCGGGAGCGGGCGCTGCTGGGCGCAGGGCCGGCGGGCGCGGGGGGCGCCGGCGGGGCGCGGGCGGAGACGTCGGCCGGACCTAGCGGAGCTCGGGGCCACGGAGGGCGCTGGGCGCTGCTGCCATCGGGCTGCGTGTCGGGGATGGGTGGGTGCGGTTGACGAGGACTCTCCGCTGGGGGAGGGGACCTTCTTTGGGCCCAGAGCTACCTGCAGCTGCGGTGCCGGTGCGTGGGGACAGGGCTGTGCCGTCCCTGCGCCCAGCCCTGCAGGCACTGCCTGCTCCGAAGTAGCCTGGAAAGTGGGTGTGATCATTGCCACGTTACAGCGGGGAAACCGAGGCTTCTGGGGCAGAGCGCCCGAGTCACACAGATGGGTTTCCAACCCCGCACCCTGCCCCGCGGTAGGATGGGCTCTGCGGCTGGGGACCATGCCCAGCCACCCTCCCTCCAGCCTGCCGGGGAGCAGCCTCTGAGGGGGACAGCCAGCTCTAGAGAGCCCGCTAGGCCTCTCTTCCCCGGCGGAGGTTAAAGGTCATCAGGAAGGGGCTTTAAAAACAAACAACCCACCCAAGTGGCCTTTTTCAAAAAGTCACACGGGATGGCAGGATCCTGAGCTGGTAAGAAGGGGGGTGAGGAGAGGCCAGAGGTGAAAATAAAGCAAAGGTCCCAGCCTGGACAGTTTCTGTGGGGAGGGAGCAGCCGCAGGGCCAGAGTCCCTCCCCCTCCCCCTGCAGGCGTGCCCTGAAGAGGGCCAGGTGGTCTGAGACCAGGCCCCTGTCCCCTGGCTCTGGAGTAGGCCAGCCAGGGGCTCTGGGCCTCTCAAGTGTTGCCCGCCTGATTCCGGCAGCCTTCCCCCCCGCCCTGGGGACCGCCCCCCTGCACCAGCCTGGGGTCTCAGGGCTGCCCAGGCTGGCTGTGTGCCCCAGCTTCTCAGATGAGGGGGGATGCAGGGAACAGGCAGGTGACCTCAGCCTGGTCTGAAACTGCGCATCCGGGGGACCCTGCCTCTCACAGAGCACCTGCCCAGCGCGCCCAGCCGCTGGCAGCCTGTGGGGAGGTGAGGCCGCGGCCCCTCACCCGCCAGGCACAGAGCGGCAGCTGGCCTCACCCTGGGGGTGAGCATGAAGTGGGCAGACCGTCCTTGGAGTTGGGTTTAGAGCCCAGGGAAAGGTGGAGGGAGAGGGCCAGTGTGGGCCAGCAGCAAAGCAGGGTGCTCTCTGGCGGGGGACGCCCTGCCGGCCGAGGTCACTTGAGGACCGCAGTTGGCTCTGAGCAGGCTCCCCTGGGGGCAGAGGACAGGCCCTGATTTCACCCCCCCCCCAGAGACACTCCAGGGGGTAGGGAGAGGAGGAACAAATTGAAGGTGAGGGGAAGGAAGGGAGGAAGGGAGAAGGAAAGGGAAGGAGGGAGAGAGGGAGGGTAAAAGGAGGATTGAGGAGAGAGGGGAGGCCAGGGCGTCTTGTACTTGGGTCCTGGCCAGGGGAGGAGATGCTGGTTTCCGCCCGGGCCCTGGTGCGGGCACAGACGGTGGCGGTGGCGTGCTTCCTGGATACAGTGTAGCAGGTCTGCGATGGAGGGCTTCCCCCGGGATCCCGGAGCAGCCAGTGCCAGCCCGGCCTGGGAGCACCGGGCGGGCCGGGCGGCCTCCAGGCAGCTGGGTGGGCAGTGGGCCTCCCCAGCACCCCCAGCCCAGGACCTTCCACGCTCCTTGAGAGCTCGTGAGGCCCGCAGGCCTCTTCCTGAGGAGGGGCTTTGGCGCCCTGGGAATACAGAGGACACACTGGGTGTGGGGTCAGCTAGGGCACTCAGGGGCTGGCCCCTGCCTTGGAAGCCCGCCCATCTCTGCCTGGGGATGGTGGGGCTCTGGCCATGAGGGTCCCTCGGCTCACCCTCTGGGGCTGGGGCTGCGGGCAGAAGGGGAGGAAGGGGCATTGGACAGAGGCCAGTTTCCTGCTCCTCCTCAAGGTCAGGTGCCCCATCCCACTGCCACTTACTGTGGATTCCCAAGGCCAGAAGGTTCCCAAGGTGGAGAGAAGGGACGTCTGTCCCCCTCTTCCTGGCGAGCCCAGCCCGCACCACTGGAGCCTTTTGAACACGAGCAGCCAAACCATGGGTGCCAGGACTCAGGACCCCAGGCCAGGGGGCGTGGCCCTTGGGCTGTGACGTTGATCTCCAGTTCTGGGCCTGCAAGAGCCCTGGCCACTCATCAAGGATTCAGACACGTGGAAAAGTGGGTTTTCCTGCAGCTTCTGGAGCCATTTCTAGGTCCAAAGAAAGAGACTGGCACCAAAGACAGATGGGGTGCAGCCTCTTGGAAAAATAGCAGCTAATGGGGAAACTAATGAATAGAAAACTGGTATGTGTTCAACCTTCTAGCTTAGTGGCCTGGGAATACCAGGCACTGGCATGCTTGGGGACAGAGGACACACTGGGTGTGGGGTCAGGTGGGGCATTCAGGGGCTGGCCTGAAAAAAAGGTTTTCTTTTCTTTATTTTTTTATTTAAAAATCTTTTGTTTCACAAAGCCGCCAGTAGGTACAGTCTATTCCCGCCAATGACTGTCTAAGCCCAGGCTCCCGCCAGGAATGGCCAGGAGGGCTGGGGCCTCGCCAGTGACTCAGAACCAGCCGTGGTCTCGGGTTCCTCCCAAATTCAACTCCGAGGGCTGCGCCGGGCGCTGAGCTGTGCCAAGCACGTTAGGAAAATAAACCCTCGTTTGCTGCCTTCGCAGTGACTTACAACAAAAGAAACCACATTAATAACTGAGATTTTCTTTAAAGCATTCCCTCCTGTGGGCAGGGCGGAAACAGGGACATGGACACGCTGGGAAAACAAACAAAGCCCCTGGGCCGGGGAGGCCTGGTGGCCACTGCACAGGGCCGGTGCCTGTTTTGGAAAACCCGGGACGCCCTGCAGGAGAGAGAGAGAGAGCAGGTCCCAAGTGGATCCAGAGATTTGGAGATTTTCAGAGATTGGGGCAATGACGTGCTTGGAGTGTTAAGGCACAGGACGAGGCCGGGGCGGGCTGGGCCGCATCTGCTGATGGGGGTGGGTCTGGTTGGGGGCACGGGGGGCAGGGCCACAGGCAGGGCCTGGAGGGACCCCTGAGTTTGAGAGACTGGCAATGAAACCTCCCTTCAACTCTTTTGGTTGTTGTGAAATACACCTAACATGAGCTTTACCATTCAGTCATTTGTAAGCGTATGGTCCAGTGGCACCAAGGACGTTCACACTGTTGTGTGACCACCGTCACCGTCTACCTCTAGAACTGTTTTATCTTCCCAAACTGAAACCCTGTACCCGATCACACCCAGCTCCCCCTCTGCCGCCCTGGGGAGCACGGGCACTTTTCCGGTTTCTTGTGGTGTCGACATCTGCATGCCCGGCTACCGTGCGCGTCGTTCTGCGCCGCGCTGGCGTGTGTTCTGGGGGCTTCCGTCTCTTGCTCAGCACCACCGTCCTTAACGGCTATCCACGTGGCGCGCTGTGTCGAGATCTCGCTTCCTTTTTTTGTTTTGAGATAGAGTCTCACTCTGTCCCCGGGGTCAGAATGCCGTGGGTGGCAGCTGGCTTCACGGACCTCAAACTCTTGGGCTTGGAGCAGTCCTGCTGCTCAGGCTCGGAGTTCTGGGACGTGCAGTGCATACGCCGCCATGCTGGCTGAGATTTGTCTTTAGGTATATTTTTAGTTGGCATGTAAGTTTCTTTCTATTTTAGTAGAGATGGGTCTTGCTCTTGCTGCAGGCTAGGTTGTTGCACTCGTAACTTCGCTGATTTGCTGGCCTCAAGGCCCTTCCGAGTGCTAGGATACAGCGGTGAGCCCGCACGCTTCCTTCTTTTAAGGGCTGATCTTTCGGTGCGGTGGGGCACCCTCTTGTGTCACCCGTAACCCCTCGACGACCTGGCCGTCCCACTATTGTGTGCTTTGCTGCTGTGGCCTGGTGGACAGCCCCACCGTTCAGTGTCCCCTCTGTATTCTTGGGGCAACATACCGAGTGGGATTCGTCCTGGAGTCTCAGTCTTTTGTGTTATCTGTGGTTTCTGTAGTTTGTTTATTGGATACTATAACTTGGTTGTCCCGAGCCGTGATCTGCAGTGTTTACACGCTGCGCCCTATACTGGCTCTGTTTGATTGATTCGGTTTGTTGAGCAGGGGGCAGCGCCGGGCGCTGCGGAGAGGGACCTTCCACAGACGTGTTCTGATGTCTTCCTCCGCTCCCACTCTTTTCCCCGTTGCTGTGTGCTCTGTGGTGGGTGGCAGGTCGTGTTGCTCGTCAGCCATCTGCATGGGGTCTGGGACACCTGCGGGTGTGATGTGTGGGTGGGGGGTCGCTTTTTGCCTGCCGCTGTCTGGTGTGTGACTTGGTGCTTTAATCCTTCTTCTGGGCTGCAGGTTTCCTCCAGAAGCGAGTGGGATTGTGTGCGACGACAGCGTCTTTTTGGTGCCTGTGTTTCTTTGGTCTGTGTTCTGTTGTATGCGATCCCTAGGCTGAAATGCTTCTCTCTTCGCTCCTCTCAGTTGTGTGTTGTCCTTTTCGTTGTATCTCGTTTAGTCTCTGAGCCTGTTCTCGGCTGGGACTGGTGCTGCTTTGTTGTTGTTGTCGTGTTGTTTGTTGTTTTTGTGTGTCTTTGTTTGTTGTAATGGTCTGATCTTTTTGGTGTCGGGTGTGGATGTGTGAGATGTTTTTTTTTGCTGGAGTGGGTATGGGATTGCCTGCGATGATGCTCATTGGTCTCCGGGGCCTTCAGTCTGGGAACTGCCGGCCCCGCCACAGTGGGGTGGGAGCAGGTCTGCACCTCTGGCCTTTGTGGGCAGGGAGGGCACTGGCCGATGGCTGCGCCGTTCATGGTTCCAGGGTGGCCTTGCTCCCGCGTCCAGTGGGTCATCTGGGTGGAGCCGGGGGCCGGGCACAGGGGCCTGGGACGGGCTTTCCTTTCCCTGTGGGCAGAAGCTCAACACGCTGAA